TAATCAGCGGTGAATGTCCATCACCTGCGTGCTTTCACATTGAGCAGCATTAACTACACAGAGCCGTTGTTCACTGACGAGCTGCACTAAACCACGTTCATATTCGCGTGATTTTTTTGCGCAGCTCATCAGTGAACAACGGCTCTGTGTAGTTAATGCTGCTCAATGTGAAAGCACGCAGGTGATGGACATTCACCGCTGATTACAGAACCGGCTTTCTGACAAGATGCGCGTTAAATATCGCATGCGATTAATCGTGCAGCCCTATCCAGAATGTTAAAAAATATTCAGGTGTTAAGTAAATCTTTTTAAATTGTTGTTTTGTAATAGATTTTTTCTTTGAAAAGCTAGACAAAACAGTAAAAAGCACATTTTGGCTATTTAATTTATGCAGTTGCAAAAACTTGGCAAAATATATGGGGGAAAAAATCGTATTCGGCCTTCGGCCCAGTGTTTCATTTTGTTCGGCTTCGGCCAAGAATTTTAATTTCGGTGCATCCCTATTTTGTTATAGTCAAAATAATATGAATCTTGACTGAAACATTACTGAACGCGTATACTTAATAATTTAATCCATCATCTGATGTGTTTTAATTATATTGTGAACTAGAACTAGATGATATTTACACTCTACATTTTGAAGTCAGTAGGATTTTTTTAGACAGTAGAAGTCTCATGCTCACCCAGGCAAAATTTATTTAAACAAAAATACAATAAAATCTGTAATATTGTGAAATATTATTACAATCTAAAATAGCTGTTTTCTATTTTAATATATTTTAAAATGTAATTTAATCCTGTGATGGCAAAGCGGAATTTTCTGCAGATATTACTCCAGTCTTCAGTGTCACATGATCCTTCAGAAATCATTGTAATATGCTGATTTGCTGCTCGAGAAATATTTAATATTATTATAATTTATTATTATAATTATTATCATCAACAATTTTGAAAACAGTTGTTCTGCTTAATACTTTTGTGGAAACCATAATAGTTTTTTGTTTTTTTTTTGGATGAATAGAAAGTTCAAAAAAGCTGCATTTTTTAAAAATATAAATCTTTTGTAGCATTATAAAAATCTTTACTGTCACTTTTAATAAATTTAATGCATCGTTGCTGACTAAAAGTATTATTTTCTTAGTTTAAAAAAAAAAAAAAACCTATTCACCCCAAACCTATTCACAATATATTCAAGATGTAAGTACATATAAATTGCAATGTAAATATTTTAATAAAAGGAATAGATATAATGGTCCCATTTTTAAAGCATGCCTTGATTATTTTTAAACTAGATTTTTACTTATTTGTGTTAAACAGATATATAGCTATGTTTCTCACCTCTATTGTTAACGTGTTTCTGTCTTGCAGGTGTAGTGTCTGTCGGCAATCCTCTTCTGACAAACTGGTCAACAAAAATGAAGACAGCGTTTCTGATGCTGGTGAGGAGCATTTGGGAATACTCTCTATGCCAGTGTTAAACTGAGCTCGGGCATTGACAGGAAGTCTCATATCTGCCCTGTGGTAAATGCGCCCAACCTCAGTACAGGCCAACAAAGTGCATTTCCAGCCATGATTTGTAATGCCCCCATCTGTCGGCTCGACTGGCACGCTGTTTGTGAACATTAGGCCAAATGGTTCAAGCTGCCGCCCGGCTGATCATTTAGAGAGTGCACACACACACACACACACACACAGCATATTATCTCTGCCTCTCAGCACCCTCAGAACAACTGGCACCTCCGTTACCCAGCATTCTGTGTGTTTACCCTGAGCACTGATAAGTGCTGTTTACAGAGACACACTCTCTGCCCTCACAATCCCAAATTGGCATTTGTGCATGATGATTTCCTGAATGCTTTTAGACCGCGTGACATAAATAGAGTCTTGTGGGAAGAATAAGGGGAAGAATGATGTAAACGGGAAAGGGAGTCGAGGGCCCTTCATCAGTGAGAGAGCACCACAGCTATACTTGCTTTGAGATTTACAATCACCTGGCTTCTTTCATTTTTCCAGTTTATAGCAACACTGATTTTCGAAGTTGTAAATAAAATAAATCTTGTAAGGTCTACAAGGAAGTACTATTTCAGTATTTATTATTTCACTTCAAAATTGTATGTTTAACTCAATGCAGGGTTTCCGCGGGTCTTAAAGTCTTAAAAAGTCTTAAATTGTACAAGAAAGTCTTAATTATGATTTCAATAGGTCTTAAATTTGGGGACGGAAAGACCAGAATTGCGATATGGCTGAATGTGACGATTAAACTTCAAAAGGCTAACGTTATGATTTCATCAAATAAACATGAGCGCTGCGGGTTCAAATTCCGGGTGCTGTGCTGCTTTGTGTTTTGCCGTTACCGGGGAAACAGTTATATTTCTACCAAACGCTCCACCTGCTGGCAGAGTGGTGTTTCGTTCCTGAATGAATCAAACGTTTAAATGATTTGGTTCAAACGCAATGACTCACTTAACAGTGACTTGCTGCCACCAACTGGCAGTTTTAATTTCACATTTAAGGTACCTTTTCATTTTTAAAATGATTTCAAACATCAGTTTTTAATGTTTTATGTTTAAAATATCAAAACATTATTTATGCATTTGTAACTGCAGGTTAAATGCATTCATGTCCTATCTAGTATATCACGAAAAGCAAACAAAACACCTAGCAGGTTAGACTTGTGCGCGTGCGTATTTATAGTGCGTTCTTTCACTGCATGAATCAGTCTATTAAAATGCATTTAGAAATATATAATTCAAGATATGGGGCAGAAAATGTATATATTTATTCGGGGTGGGGGAACACTGATTAAATGTAAGAATTTGACTCAAAAGATAATGCACACTTATAGAAAAGTGGCTTTATAAAGGTAAAATGCCCATAAAAGGTAAAAATCTATTTAAACTTATCTGACCACAACACAGAATATGAAGAATATTAAAAACATTAGGAGTCAGCTGTCTTCGGCAGTCCTTAAGGTACCACAGCACAATAACACACTCAGCAAAATATTGTCTAATTATCGTTATCGATAAGATCCCAGAAAATTATCGAGATATAATTTTTTGTCAATATTGCACACCCCTAATTTATGTTATTTCATTGATATAATAATTTATTGATAATAATAATTAAAATTAATATAACAATTAATACTTTTGACTAATCTGTTTTCTTAAAAATGGTTTAAAGGCTGAAATGTAAAGTTTATCATTTTATAAAACTTTTTGTTTTTGTGAAAACTTGTATCTGAACTGTAAGTTATGCTTTTTACAGTAATTTTACAGTTTAATATGGTACTATAGACATTGCCTAACCCACTCATATGGGATTCATTTTATTTGTGCAGGTCTTAAAAAGGTCTTAAATTTGAACTTAAAAATCCTGCAGAAACCCTGTCAATGTTACTTGCCCTTTCTGTGTAATTATTTGTGAAATTTTAATACAAGAAACTACTCTTTCAGTATTTCTTCTTTCACTTCAAAATGTTGTTTAACTCAATGTTGCTCATCCTTTCTGTGTAATTATTTGTGAATTTACTGAGTGAAAATAATTTCAAAGTAAAACTTTTTCAGTTAAATTTTTTTGCATTTTTGGAATTCAGTGCAAAACTGATTTCTAATTTTAAGTCAAGTCATTTATTTGTATAGCACTTTATACAATGCAGATTGTTTCAAAGCAGCTTTACATGGATAAACAGGGAAATAATGGTTCAGTGATCAATTCTGCTGTAAAGGAGCTGTAAAAAACAATAGTGTCACTTTTCAGCTGAGGTCAGTCTAGTGGTGATTCAGTTCCCTTCAAGAACATCAATTATGAACTGAGTTCAATTCAGCTGTAAAGCAGCTCTGTAGAAAACAGTAATGTCAGCATTCTGTTCAGTTATCATCCAATCGTGTCTGTTGATTCAATAATATTGCTGGATATTAGGTGCCCCCAACTAACCAAACCAGAGGCGACAGTGACAAAAAAACCAAACGGCATCGGTGACAGAAATGGAGAAAAAAAAACGGTAACACTTTATTTTGATAGTCCACTTTAGACATTCTACTAACAGTAAGTTAATTTGCAACTACATGTCAACTAGCAGTCATTAGAGTATTAGTAGACTGTCTGCTTAATATCTTCTAACACTTTATTTTGATAGGTCCACAACATACAACATACTGACTATGAGAAACGTTGCAAGTATATGTCAACTTATTGTACTAACCCTAAACCTAACCTAATGGTCTACTCTGAGAGTTAGTAGACATGTAGTTGCAAAGTTACTTAGTTAGTAGATTGTCAAAAGTGGACAATCAAAATAAAGTGTAACCAAAAAACCTTTGGAAGAAACCAGGTTCTAATGTTTAGGGTGTTCTTGGTGGTCGCCTACTGGAAACGCATGTATCAAAGTCTGTGAAAAGGGTCTATAGACTTCACTGCTCAGAGGTATACTAGTATTCACATGATGTTGTTGTATTTCAGAGTGTCAGGATACGTGGACGGTCATCAGGGGAAAGTTCTTGGCCATCAATGCTGCCAGCATGAGTTGTGCGTGTCCTCGCAGTCCTAAAGGCCTGTCGCCGTCAGCGCACTTAGCAGATGGAACTACTGACCTCATCCTCGTCAGGAAGTGCTCCCGACTCGACTTCCTGCGCCACCTGCTGCGCCACACCAATAAGGATGACCAGGTTCCTGATTTATCTCAACAGAAAACATCAGTAGATTTAACATGATATTTTTTAATGAAAGCCATGAAGCAATTCCATTCATGTTTCATCAAAGGCTGGGAAAAAACGCCACTTTCTTAACTGGCACACTTCAAAAAAGTATCCCCGCTGTCCAGTGTCCACCAAATGCTTACTCTATATTTTATATTAGTATAAATTCATATGTATATTTAATTAACTGTAAGTTTTAGGGTTTTTTTCTTGGAAAAAGATTTTTAATTATGTTCTTTTAAGTTCTTAGTAACAGCAGGGTTCCTACAGTCATAGAGAACCTTGAAAGTGATGGCAATTTGTCTATTTTTTTAATGCTTAATAGGCTTGCTGCGATAGACGGTATTTTTGGTTATACTGGTGTTAAGCCGCAACACTGGTTACGTCATTTGCCTACCGCGGCACCGCCCCCCACCATCGTTTTTATTTTTTTATAGTAACAAAAATAATTTAACCTAGTTCAGTGAGGACAGACACTTTTAAAAACTAAATGCTCAATGCAGCGTGCCGAACCGTGCGCGAACGACAGATAGCAGAAGTCAGGAGTCAGATTTTATTTATCACGTGAGGAGAGTGAGTCGAGCTGACTGACAAGAGTGAGGTGAGAAAGACAAAAGACGATGGCAGAAGATTGTTTAGAAATGAAATGCAAAGGCTATTAGGCATATATGGTGTATTTTTATTCGTTTTGTTAATAAAAGTTCTATGAGTTTGACGTTGTTGTTGCTTGAATTGAATCAATGCCCAATTGCTGCTAATTTGAAAGTGAAAGTAAAATGCGCACTGCACTTTTTCAAGCTATTTGAAAGCCAAGAAATCCGAGGAAAAGAGGAAAAACTCAAAAGAACAATTGCTTGACGCCGAATTGAGGCAATTCAATTGCCGCTAATTTGAAAGTGAAAGTAAAATGCGAACGGCACTTTTACAAGCCATTTGAAAGCAAAGAAAAGAGGGAAACTCAAACGAACTAACTGTTTTCTGTTGTAATATAATTTAGTAATATATTCTAGTAATGACAAAGCTGAATTTTCAGCAGTCTTTGTGTCACATGATCCTTCAGAAATCATTCTAATATGCTGATTTTGTGCTTAAGAAACATTCATTCATTATTCATTATTTCATTCAGTTGAAAATGGTTGTGCTGCTTGTTGTGGAAACCGTGCTACTGTTTCTTTCCAGATTCTTTGATGAATAGCATGTTAAAAAGAATAATATTTATTTAAAATAGAACTATTTTGTAACTTGCTAAATAAAAGTATTAATTTCTTTCAAAAAAAAAAGTACACTTAACGTTTAAAGGTGGGGTAAGTGATTTCTTGTAGCCAATGTTGATATTTCAAATCACCAAAACAAACACGCCCCTACCCCAAAAACCCAGGCAACAACTATGGCGGAATCTGCTGTGCCAGCCGGCCGAGGGTATGATGTCATCAATAAGTGAAAGCAATGTGTGTTACTATGGTAATACTGGTCGAATGTGTTTTGGTAGTACTGTGTGTTTTATCATGCATATATGTGTTTTAACAGCATATATTAGTTCTATGAAACAAAGCAAAACCAATGTTACTCACCTATCGAGAAGAAAAAAAGCAACCTCGGCATCCGATCGCAGGCCTTCCTGCTTCTTGAGTTCTCTCCAGCGCTTGAAAGCTGATCCGATATTTACACGGGTCCTACTTCTTGCCTTATCGTAAGCCGTCTTTTGTTATACAGATGTTTTCCTCTTTTGTTTTTTATCCGCCATCTCTATCTTTCTGTCGCTCGGCTCGGCTAATGTCCGTCCTGTGCTGTGCACTGAACGCTCTCTCCTCCACATCATGAGTAGACACGCCCCTTACTGCTGATTGGCTACAAGTTTGTTTTGGTGCTCGGCCCGACTCTAAAGCGATTCTAAAGCGTTTTTGAAAAAATACATACCCCACCTTTAATGATATTTGACGTGGGATTCAGTAAGCATTACCCTTGTTCTCTTTCTTTGTTCAGTTTGATCACTCTTTTGTGGAGGTGTACCGGGTCAAGCAGTTCCGATTCACCCCCAGATATCAGGAGTGTGATTCTGAAGTGGACCTGAGAGAAAGCGGAGCAACAGGCAAGCGATTCCTTAGTCAGATCTGCAGGGAGCACAGAGCCTGTGGCTGCATGCCTTCCCAGAGCAACTGGAACTGTGATGGAGAGATCCTCCCACACACTGCCATTCAAGTCCGGTAGGTGTCCTTATCCAGATACACCCTCTGTGTTTGCGATTTCGGTTTTTATGAATTCATGTATTGGACTCGGTGGAAGTGAACCCATTACTCAACTGTTCGAGTTGCAGAAATGCTATATATAGATACTTCACTTGAGTGATAACGCCCACTCTACAAATGATGAAAAATGAATTTAAAAGATGCATGTAGTGAAAATGAGAACTGTTATTCTGTGTCATGTTTCAGAAAGGAAAAAGTGGGCCATTATAGTTTTAATACACTAATTACTTCAAGCAAGTCCTCGTTGTTGTAATTAAGGGCATCACTGCCACTCACACTCAGACTTCCTCATATATCTAAGAGATGTCACTGTCTCTTTTAGACCTTATATGAATAGTTTTCAGCTTCAGAAAATGTTCCTCCGACACAAAATGAGCAGGCTTCACTAAAGCGTTTGTCAATTAGTGGAAGCTGTAGTTGAAATGTTGAGGTCTTTTGAGCACAAGATTGTATCATCTCAGCACTAGCATACTAAACAGGGTAAATAAATGGACTTTTGTGGCCTGAGCCTGTGGAAAAGATGCTATTAAAATTAAAAACTCCCTCCATTGTGCCTGCAGAGGAGTTGTTCTCCTCCTTGATACAGCATGACGGCTCGCCCAACTGCATCATTTCCTTCATGCCCAATTGTTCTGTGTCAACAATGCGTAGCAATGAAATGCTCCTAATTTAATGGCCCTCTCACTGTTAAAGGCTCACCTCCTTTAATTAAAATAGAAGTCCATTCATTTATTCCATTTTCAGCTTCAGTAATTGTTTCTCGAATGAGTAAGCAAATAACCTGTTGAGATAATTGATGATGATACCACGGCCGAAAGAGGCAATCGCCTGGCACTGAACTCACCTCCAGAGTATTGAGTGGAATTAGAGGAAATTAAAGAGCCCCCGAACCTCCTAAGAGTGCATGCACTTAACTACAAAACTTTTTATTCAACACGACATAGCATTTATTGCTTACCAGCACTTTCTCGTACTTTGTTTTAGTCTAGGACACAATGCATTAGTGGTGTTTGCTAAGGCAAGCATCAGTGTTACTATTGCAAATCGTTTGGGTTGGGGATTTAAACAAACCACTATACTTAAATATTACACTTATATTGAAATATTCAAGGGGTCATAAGATTCTATTTCAAGTTTTCCTTTGTCTTTGGAGTGTTACAAGCTGTTTGTGCATATAAGATCCGTAAAGTTGCAAAGACTAAAGTCTCATACCCAAAGAAAATATTCTTTATAAAAGTTAAGACTCGTCCATGCCTTCCTAAACTGCCTCATTCAAACACGCCCCCACATATCTATGTCACTGTGTTGGAAGATTTGCATAACACCACCCAAATGTTCACGCAAAGAAAGAAGGCATAACTTTTATTCTCGCTGTAGTATTGTTGCTGCCGCCGCCATGTCGTGGAGACGCTGTGTGTTTCCAAATATGGTAAGGGGCGTAACATTTCAGTCATTCGCTTGAGGTATTTGGCCAATCACAATGCACTGGATAGCTGGCCAATCAGAGCACACCGCGCTTTTCAGAATGATGAGCTTTGTAAAAATCGACGCGTTTCAGAAATAATGTGTTTTTTAAACCTTAAACCGCATAAACACTTTGCATTACACCAAATAATTTTATTTTTAGCATCGTCATATGACCCCTTTAAGCAAATAAACAATATTAGAGTATGTATATTTAATCAGAGCAGGCTCATTGGAAAAACATGCCTCATTCTACATTTTTGCATAACTCCAAAAACTTACCTATACATACAATTCCTTGCAGTTTCTAGCTGAATTGAACACTATTACAGGGGAAGATTATCAATTAATAAAGGTACCTTGCACAATACCATGTTATGATCTCAAAACAAATACAATATCACATTTGAATTACATAACCAGCTCATATGGCTTTTCTGACAGTCAAGTCAAGTCACCTTTATTTACATAGCGCTTTTAACAATGCAGATTATGTCAAAGCAGCTTTACAGTATTAAACAGGAAAATAGTGTGTCAATGCAAAAGTAAACACTTAATTTACAGTTAAAGTCAGTTCATCATTGATTCAGTGATGTCATCATCCAGCTCAGTTCAGTTCAAATATTAGTAGTAAACATAGTAAACTTGCTCAGTAGCTCACCTGGTATAGCATTGCACTTGTTATGTGGAGCGCTCTGGTACGAGTTCCATGAGTCACAATAAAGTTAATTGGATATTACGTTTGAAATGGCATCATGTTAGCTTTTGTTAAGACTATGGGTTAGATTTAGGGTAAGGTTGAGTGCAGGTGGTACATTATTTTCAAACGCAATATCCATTAACTGCCGCAACGTAATAAAACCTCACCAGATTCATGTTCATCTGTTTCAGATCAAACTGAACACACTTTCAGCAACACTCATTGGACATTTCACTTTGAAAGTGTTGTGAAAGATACAAAAACATAACATGATATTATTTTGCAGAAATGTTGCCTCACTGAAAAAAAAAATTCGTAACAATTTGCACTTTTTACACATTTTAAGTTAATTTTACTGCTACTGCTCTGTACAGTCTACTTACTATTGAACTTTATGAACTTTTGAACATTCATAAAGAAATTAAGTAAATGTTACATAATTATATATAATTTCACATATAAAATTAAGTAAAAATCTACTTACCTAAGTTAAGTAAATTTAACAAAGAAAATAAGTAACTTTGGCTTGGCCAGTAAAAGTCTGATTAATTTTTTCTTAACCAAAGCTTACTTGGCAATACTTTGATTTTACTTAATATAGCCCCTAATTAAACCATGCTGTTGAAGTGTATATTACATAGAAACATCTAAGTAAATAATACAATAGATATCATGTAGGTATCTCTACATAATTAGTAGTGCGGCACTCATCCGAACACAGAGACTTCAATAGTTAGGTACACAATACACAATGATGCTGACATTTGTTGGTTCATTTTTGAGTATGAATGTGTCATTTTGAGTCGAAAATGAACTCCAGATGTAACAAAATCACAAGTTACGAAGTCTAACAATAAAAGCAATGATAAAAAAGTCTAAATACAGCCGGAAAACGGGGAAAAAAATCTGCTTTATTAATCATTAATGCCGCAGTGCATGATGGGAACACCAGTATCAGAAACGTTGAGAAGATTTTGTTTTACATTTTTGCCTGTACTAACTTTTTCATGTTGAAATTACATTTGTTTTTTTCTGTAGTATTTACTTCACCACATAATCATTTTTATCAGTGCACACACAGATGTGTTTTTTTCAGTAAGCCTAGGGTGGTTTTTAGCATGCTGTTTGTTCCAGTGAAGTGTTAGCATTTTGTTAGATTTTTTTTCTTTCTCTGTCTTAGGGTCCACTGCCAGTTGATCAAGCTGTTTGCGAGAGGCGTCGAAGAGCAGCCTGTGTTTGAGGACCTGTACGCTCACTGTGCAATATAGATCTCCACTCCACTTAAAAAAACCTCCAGCTGGATCATTAAGGATCGAGATTCTTTGAATGGAATAGTCACCTTCAGCTCAGCACAATGTCATGCTGTTTCTTATACTGTTTTACGCAGATAATCCTCATGAAGATGCATTGAAAACACACAGAGCTGGAGTCAACAGCATTTTATATAGGCTGTATTAGATTTGTGTAAGATAGGATCAGCTGTTTCAGCTAGGCATTAGCATTGCCGATTTTTTCATTTCAACCCAAGTCCTTGAAGTTGCTGGTGATATGTCTTGCTGTATGCCACAGCTTCCAGTTGTCAGCATTTGTCTTCCACCATGATCAAGCTGGTCTTGAGAGTAGCGTTAATTAAATCCCAAAGTCAAATTCCTGGAACTGTGAAAACTCTGGTATGTTTATGAAAACATTCCTCTTGGTTGCACCTTCACTGTTTTTTTTGTTTTTTTTTCTAGATATAAAGCACTTGAGGTGGTCACCTGATGAAGCTATTGGTATACCAAAAAAGTTTGTGGTTTATGTTGAACTTGTTGGTCATTCAAAATTGAAAGTTCTGTTATATAATTTACTAAAAAACTTCCAAATTAATTTTAAGTTGTTAATCACTGCCAGCAGTGTTATTGTTAAAGGGATAGTTACCCCCCCTCTCTTCTGTTGAACATAAAAGAAGATATTTTGAAGAATGTTGGTAACCAAACAGTTGCTCGTTGCCATTGATGTCCATAGTGTGGAAAAAAAAAATACAATAAAAGTAAATTCCTCAACTATTCCTTTAAAAAGTTAGCATGAAGTAATATACGTCACAGACGCTGAAGCCTACATTAAATCAAATTTACACATGATCAGTACATATTATCCAAATGGATAAATCCCATAAAACATACCTTTTGACCAATTCTAATGTATCATCATGTCCCAATCTTACCAAAGTTTGTTTTGTTTTCCTGACATTTCATGCATGGAAATGTAGCATTAGAGATCTAGACACTGACAGCTACACAGTGTCACTGTAGGGTCAGTGTATGTACGGCTGTTCATCAGACGGAATGTAAATGTAAATATTGTAGCGCTCTTTGCATTGTCTTCCTTGGAACACAATATACACAAAATATCATTGGAAAGAATATTTCCTCCCTTTATAATGAATTTTGTGTTTGTTTTTCCTATGCTGATGTCTTATTTCTTATGAAAGTTCTTATTGTTCCTGCGGTATCGGAGAATGAAGTTTATGATAGACAGAGAAATTGCTTTTCGCTGTTGTGCATGTCAGCTGCTTTAATATGCCATTTTTAAAGTGTTTCCTTGAGCTGTACTTGTGATTGGGGGTATGGATTTCCCATGATGCATCTGTAAAGGCAACACAACTTCTGTAGCTATTACATTGTTCACGTCCTTCATAGACTGAAAGATTGTAGGGAAGCTCATTTTTGCCACATAAGAAAAAACCTGTTTTGGTAAATCATAATTATGACATTAAGTCATAATTGGGTCATAATTAAGTCATTATTGAAAACTGAAATAAAAATATTTTTAAAAATAAGAATTATTTTTAATCATAATTAAAAATGACTAAAAATAAAAACGGCCATAATAAATAAGTCATAATTATAATATTAAAAGGTCATAACTGAAAACTGAAATTAAAAATAAATTAAAGCTAAATAGAAATACAAGAAAATACTGATAAAAAATGAAAAAAACATAAAATTGATAAAATTGACTAACCTTTTTTTTTTTACTTTATCATAATTTTTAATTTTTATCTCATAATTGACTTAGTATCTCATAATTTTGATTTTTGTTATAATTTGTCATAATCTCATAATTTTTATTTACCAAAGCTTTTTTTTTTTCTCCTGTGGAAATGTGCTTCACATGATTGTCGTGTGTGAATCTCGGGAAGAAATCCCCAAGTAACATTTCACTTTGAAATTTAAAAAAAATTAAGAAACTATATTCTTCAACGACAATGAAAACCTTTTTGAAATGTAATTGAGTTATGTATTTTTGCGTTGCATTGTGACATTATTTTCATGACTGATAAGCACATTTTCTTTTAATTATTGTAGTGAAATATGACCAGGATATTTCTTGACAGTTTTAATGTTAATCACCCATGTATACTAAGGACCATGGAAAAGATGTCCTCATATGCGACCAGGCAATTCAGATGTCACGAGAACCTCTGCTGTTTATTCTATTATATGTATTCTACTATTGTTGGTAGCCTACTTCAGACCTAATCAATCCCAATACATGCTGTGTACGCACATGATGTGCCACCAACTTTCCCTACTGATCCAGATATACCATTCACAGCCCATTTTAATTACTTGAATGTGGCCACGGTTTTCACCTTTGTGCTGCCCTGGCGGCTGCTGTTCATTTACGGCTCAAGACAGGTGACAGTATAATGTACTACAATGGTTGTCCAGTACTGTTTGTGTGTTTTCAGCTGAAGTTAAACTGAGTGCCACCTTATGCAGTCAAGCACTTGTCAAGACTCAGTAATGACTGATAATGAAGTCATCTTGCAGGACTCTTGCAGGAGTTTATTTTGATGTGCTGAATGAAATGCAAAGAAAATCCATGAATAAAGTTTATTGAACAGTCGTTAAGTGTTCTGAGTGGTCAGTTTTGGAGATTCATTGAAGTAAGGATGTACGTGTGAAACTCACTAAAACTGTCATGAACAATGCCAAAATCATAATAAAATATGCAAAATAAAATTAGATTAGAGATTAGACTATTATAATATTCTCGTTACTACAAAGCACATTTGTAACATAGTACTTGTTACTAGAATCTTGGAATCTAATTTATTGGATTCTCATGTGAAAGAGAATGAAACTTCTGTCGTTAATTACTCACCCTCATGTCGTTCTAAACCCATAAGACCTCTGTGCATCTTCAGAACACAAATTCAGATATTTTTGATGAATTCTGAGAGCTCTCTGACCCTCCATAGACAGCAAGGATACTACCACGATAAATGTCCAGAAACGTGGCAAGGACATCGGTAAAATAATCCATGTGACATCAGTGGTTCAACTAATTTTTCAAAGTTATGAGAATATTTTTTGTGCGCAAAGAAAACAAAAATGATGACTTTATTTAACAATTTGTCTCCTCCGCGTCACCCTGGCGCCGTTTTGGAGAGTATCCACTGAACGTATGCTGTTCTGTGTCAGCCGCACCATGCGGATACATTGTCTACGTTGTTTACGCTTTGATCTGAACGAAAATAATGTATCCACGTGACGCAGCTGACAGAACAGCATACGATGTTTACGTTCAGCTGATACTCTCCAAAATGGCGCTATAGGGTGACACGGAGGAGACGAATTGTTGAATAAAGTCGTTATTTTTGTTTTATTTGCGCACAAAAAGTATTCTCGTAGCTTCGTACAATTACGGTTGAACCACTGATGTCACATGGACTATTTTAAAGATGTCCTTGCTACGTTTCTGGACCTTGATCGTGTAAGGATCCTTGCTGTCTATGCAGGGTCTGAGAGCTCTCGGAATTCATCAAAAATACCTTAATTTGTGTTCCGAAGATGAACGAAGGTCTTACGGGTTTGGAACAACATGAGGGTGAGTAATTAATGACATAATTTTTATTTTTGAGTGAACTATCCCTTGAAGGAGGATCAGGACAATAAATGGAAAAGAATATAGAAATATGGTAATTTTTAATCAGTGGTGCTGAACTGGTTTTACTTTTAGGTGATCCAAAAAGAGTACCAAAATTGTTAATTGTACAAAACTAAACAAAAATCAAATATTTAAATTTATCAACATAACCGTGAACGTCATAAACCCAACAATGTGCAAAACTGAGTGTTGTTTCTGCTGTACTTTAACAGTAACAAAACACATTGTAGTTGGCACAAACCATGTTTATCCTTGTTCGTAGGTTTCGAGGATGAGGGGTATGTCATGCAACCTGTCCATGTCCACATCTACCTAATTTGACTAACTTGTACCAAGCGACAGATGAATCTCTGCCAAAAAACCAAAGATTACCATAAAATACAATATTATTTGCATCGAGGATTGTATTCCCTGCTGTCCAAAACCCTGTCAGAACACACTTGTGCCCCATTTCTGGGTCACAACCCAAGAGATAGCCCTGCCCTGAACTCACAGTATTGTTTGAGCATCATACATGTCATGTTGCATTCAAGTCCTCCTGGGAAGTTTGTATTTATGAATTTAGAAGCCATAATTACAACACCAGGCGGGCCCAAGTCCTTTTGTTTGGAACAAGATGGCAATGTAGCTTTTCTACAAAAGATTCAGCAAAAATGTTTAACTCTACTTCAACAAAATTATGCACATCAAGTATGAAGGTGTTGTGAATTTAATCTATATATCATAATTGTACAATGCTAATTGTAGTAATAACAATTTCATTCATTTCAACAAATCTACCATCAATACAGACACTACATCTATTCCGTCCCCCACAGTTTCTCACTAGATATGTTTCCATCCACATATTTTTATGCAAATTTTGGGATATTGCATAAAAATAAGCTGGATGGCAACGTCAACATACGCATAAATACGCAAAAAAAACGTATGCCCTCAATTGAGCCGAAAATTTATTTTGTATATCTGATAAGATATTTGCATAGACTATGATGGAAACACATTTACCGAATAAATCCCTCTTTGCGCAACAAAAAAAACTTACACGACTTTGCCTCGACAGTGGTTATGATTGGATACTTGGACTAACCAGCAGACCAGTTTCATTGCACAGCATCTCAAATGTTGGTTTGATCATTCTGAAATGCCTGAGCCAATTTGGTTTATCTGTCTCACATAACTGCGTTCACAAACACCAGGCATCTGCCTACAAACGCAAGATAGCATGACAGTTTATTGCGTTTCGTCTGTGTGATCGGAGACGCCAAGTAATTTGTGATGTAAAAAAAGCCACTGTTTCTTCCCTGATTGCAGCAACTTTCATTTTTAGTTTCCCAGGAAGAGACCATTTTGTTCTATTGAACACATGGGATGGAACCAGTGCTTTATTCGCAGATGTTTTATACAAAATTCCAAATTTGTACATAAGTTAAACTCACAATTTTGGATGGAAACAGAAGCACAAGTTCCAAGTTTGAGACTCATAATTACCCATTGTGGTGGGATTCATGTGCATTCAGCTCATAAATATGATCTTTCTGATATGAATGCACCATTAGTGTATTCAGAGTCAGTGTTTACGGTATTTGGGTGAAAAAACATTCATACGCCTATGAATATTTGTCTCGGCATATTCATTTGGCATATCAGAAAGTATTTCAACATAAAATGACACACTTCACCTCTACACAACACCATCCTACATTTGTAAAAGTACAAAACACATCTGATCTCTCTGCTCTAGGGGAGGCAGAACCTGTCAAGAGCTGTTATTATGAACCCGCTACATTAAATCTACTCATGTTTCAGTGTAATTCTTAAGAGCCTTTAATAATACAGGGCCTGTGCTCCTGACAAATGTCATTGGCTGAAAAAAAAATGACGAATGGGGCGCCTCCACGTTTAACAGGCTTATTGCATAAAAATGACTGCGGGGGAGAAATAACTTGTTCTCTCCAGAGAGATGGAGGGATATTTAGCTC